AAGATCTGCCACAATCGTTGTGTTTCTGCTTAAATTTTACCCATGTATATACTGGGTGCACCATTTTAGTCGAATTATGAAATTACTGTCTGTAGTGAAACATGATACGTAGTACCCTCTGGTGTCGCTCAGCCACACTACTAGTCGTTTGAACTTTTTATACTAGCGATGATTTTAATATTTTCAGGACTAAATTAAAATGGAATACGTTATATTTTACTAAAATAAATTGATAATATTATTAATAATAAATATAGCACCTTAATAAAATCGTATGTTTCATTGAACAGACGATTCTATAGTTATGTTGCGTTAAAATCAACAATTATATGTATCAGTGTAAAACTATCAATGATAATTATTATCAATGAAAATCTATTGGGCTAAACTTATCGAAGAACTCTTAGAAGTATTAGCATTACTGGGTATCTATATTTTGTCCCAAGTTCAAATAGTTACCGATTTTTCGACTCGACTTGTATAGTTAGAGATAACGAAAAGAAGTTTTACACAGGCAAAAGTATAAGTGAGAGGTCTACTAACGTAAAACCCGCCAGAACATCCATCAATGTGGACTTTCCTGCACCGGACAGTCCCATTATCGCCGTGAGTTCACCGGCTCTGAATTCGCCACTCACGTTCTTCAACAGTTCAGCCTTTCCTGAAACAAATATTTATAGGAATATTTTTTAGTAAAACGTGAATTATTAAGTCGTACTTAGTAAAAAAAATTGTTATGTTGAATTTTTATTAAGATACCGGTATCTAAAAATATAAAATTACCAGAATTGTCATTATTTTTTAATGAAGTAAGAAGTTCCGTGAGATTTTTTCTTAATGCCTTTGATATTTTAATAACAGCGTAAAAAAAAAGCATTAACTTCATTATTAATAAGAAAAATTCTCTCACCTGAACTAGCTTTTACGAATCTGGACAGGTCACTAAGCCTCTGATTATTATACCACAGGTATTCAATTTTGATAGAAGCACACAGATGTTCGATTCATGAAAATCCATTTTAATAATCTCGCAGTATCATCTTAAAATATTTCTACCAATTACGCACGAAATAAATTATTAGGTATGATAAAATTTGAATTAATTATTTAATCTCGATTACAAATACACGAAATTTTCGCAAGAAAATTTGTTCGGAACATTTTGGCGGCTGATTCAAAGACAGTAAAAACTACTTCTCAGGTTTCCATAGCTTTTGATTTAAAAATGTGTGATTAACCTTAAAAGATGATTTCTACTTAAGTATAAGAAAAAGAAGAGAAAAATATTTAAAGATAAAATGAAGATAACGAAAAAGGTTACAAACTGAGTATTGATAAAAGGTAACAAAAACGAAATATTTATTTCCATTAATTGGAATCTGCAACGGTATAAACTACATTTCTTGCGAACACTGTACCGTTTACACTTTCACTCTGCAATACCGACGCGACGTATCACTTTCGTGTATTATTTTAGGAATTTCAATTGAAATTGTTTACACTGAATTCCTCCTGCGAATTAGTGATTGCAATAAAAATTACAAACATCGATTCACTGCATGTTAACGTGCATGGCAATAAATATCAAAGACAAACCACTAATTACATAGGTATGTTATTAATTGTTGAGTCAATAATAAAGTCACGTGATAATTTCTACCGCGCAGCTAGGTTACTTCGTCCTGTTTTCATTCAGTCATGCGATCTGCATCATACTGCCCTCTCCAAATATTTTCAAACATATTCGAGGTTCGTGAACTGATCGTTTTTACTGCACATTTAATGGAAGCGAAGCGAAATTAAACTGAATATTTTCAATACAAGACACTGTGCAGATAAAACGTTGTAAGGAACACGAAGATAAAAGATGTCCCTTGTATCATTGACCGGGACAATAAAGGTCTTATTGAATTTGTCACAGACGACTTGACTCTATTATATTTTTTAAAGACTCTATCAACGATGTTTATTATTCTGTCATCTCCTGGGTCTCTTGTGTTTATTAACCGTTTCAGGGTTAATAAACTCATAAGAAAGTATGGCCGAACACATATGCGTACATATACATGCGCAAATGGGAGGCGAGTCCGATTGTGCGCAGTCTATATTTATACACTCTAAAGTGAATTCTTAAGCATTCAAATTTGAAGAGTAAAGTATTCTTATCGTAATATTATTTTAACAATTAATTTGTCAGAATATATATTTATTGCAGAATATATTAAAAATATCGTTACTTTATACGAAACATGATTATTTACATGTTTCGTTTGAAATATGTTTCGTTTTGTCTATGGTTGATTATATCATAGCTATGCGTTTCACAAATTTTCTCTGCGCGTTAGGTCAATGCAATAAAAAGTAATAATAAATGGAAATTAAAATTTTTAAAACGATGTAACGATACAAATATATATACATATATATATCTTTAAGAATTAGTAACAATAATGTGTATGCACCACACACATAGAATACAATTGCTTTACTCTAACAGAGTTGAAATTTCCATAATTACCAACCGCTAAACCGGGTCGTACATAACTTAATACAGTTCATTCACGCTAACTAAAGGTGATTATCTTGTTACGTTGACTGATACTGAGCGAGTCAAATTTTCCTTCCGTTTTTCATGAAACGAACCAGCTTCAAAAACCGTTATTCCGCTACTGCGTCGATCATATTGAGTTCCGTTAAGAATCTTATCGTATAAATACGATCAATATTTATTTTGTTGATCCTGATACACTTGTGTACTTAACCATCATAACATATAAATATTCGTAAAGTATGTCACTTTTCGTAGTTGTGTTTGATATATTTATGATTCATTTCCGACAAAAAATTCTTACGAAATTCGTAATAAACTGTATACACAAAAAAATGATCAAATTGCGAAAAGAATTTTTTTTTTTTCAATGAAAACTTACTTTTAGAAAGAATCCAGGGTCTTGCATTGTATGTGATATCCTCAAAGACTAGGAATATGGAATTATAGATGTCCATTGTATCTTCTAATTTCTTTGCACTGGTCGGAGTATTTCCTGAACTGGACATAGCATGTCTCAGTTGCTGTTGCATCTCGATGAGTACTTTCGTGCCCATTTCTTTCGTCTGTGTTTCCTCGAGTCCTCACATTCGACTTTTCACTAAGGCGCTTTCTCTTTCTTTTCTTAATGACTGGTGAGATTTATCAACACTAAACACAATAAAACACATGAGAACTCGATAAACAATGCACGAAAAAAGAAGAGAACAAAAACGAATTGATTTTGCATTTCATAATCACTGTGAATGAACATTTATGGAACTGCATCGACAATAATGACTTTTCTTTGCATCGTGTTCGTTACTTATTTTGTATTTCACTTGTAAAATATCACGTTCTAATTACAGTCAGTACTATTAGTATCGACTATCACTATATAATGTTCATTAATACTTATAGCAAATATATGCAACATAAAAATAAACAGATTAAAGAAGTCTTTTAACACATTGGTTATACGGACTCATAGCAATTTGAATTGTAAATACTGAAATACGTAACGTGAATTTATAATGTACTTTGCACAGAAAATAAAAAATGAAAAGAATTTTTTATTAATACTTTAAAATAACAAATTCAATCTTCCCTATGTGAAAAAGCTATAAACTTTTATATTTGAATATTTGAAAATCAAAATGCACCATAGTTTTATAGTTTCCACGTGTCAACATTAAAAATCTGAAAACCTTGTAGTATATCCGTATCGCTAGACTGCTCTGTTATCAGCTTCTGGTGCGTTATTGCCGCGTGTCTCCGAGATCATGGGGCAACGTACGAAATAAGTCGCTTTCTAAAGATTGTATTGGTACAATATTCACGTAAACTTTGATAAGACATTTTATTTTGTATTCAATATGTTTTAACAAAGAAATTTTTATAGCAGAAACTTGTGAGATATCGCAACCAAAAATTTTCTTTTATTTGTAATTTTTTGAAGATCCACATACCGATGATTTTCACATGAAATTATTAAATAAACACTATCACTTAATTCTACAAAAATTCAGTTTCTTATAGTCGCGTTATCTATTTTTATACTTTAGGACACGGCTCTTGTATTGTCGGAGGTGACATGTCGTGGAATGCATGCAAAGTTCACGAGAGGAGGACGACACCATAAATGCAAAGACGGAGGTCGCTTTAACGGACTCCCTGTTCACATATAGAGACGCGTTGCTATACTGCCACGATTCAGTAGCGAAACAAAGCTTCGTATCTCTCCCTCTCTCGAGGTTTAATAACCGCATGTGTTAGAATGTAGCAAAGCCTAAGTTGACAAATTTGTCTCGCTTCGTTTAATTACGGATCATGCAGTTTCCGTATTTACCGATACAAGTACCTTGCAAGTATTTGATTGGATAAAATACAAGATAGATTCAAATAAAGTAACGAGAAAAAAAGATGTAAAGATCGTACACTTTGGAATAATTTATCCATAAAATTTTTTTGCATGTTAATCGTAAAATATTTAAATTATATTATTTGTAGATTTTTATTTATGAATGTTTAATATTAATGATGTAACGAATTATATTAATTTGTATTCAAAGTGAAGACATCTAACCTTCGAGATATAAATTATTGATAACTCGACTATCTTGGAAGGCGTATCTTGGGATAAAAGTTTGTCGATGAGATTTGTACTTCGACATTTTACACTATTTATACCGTTATACAAGATCAATTCTATTTATAAAAGTAATAATTTTTTTGTTAATCGAATATCACAATTTTAAATATATGTACGATAAATATAAAAAGATATATAAATAAATAAATATATACGTATAACTGTTTAATGTTACAATTAACATATGGTTAAAAATTAAATAAATTTAAACTTACACAAAAAGAACATGTATGTAACTATAAAATGAGTAATTCACATAAATACATTTTCCTTCGATACTTTGTATGTACTTCGAACCACTATGTATTCTGAGTCAGTAAATCATCACTGTAGTATCGATTAATGCTATCTTTAAGTTATCAAACAAAAAAAAAATTAATTAGTTTGTGAAACTTTAAAAAAATAACATTTACAGAATAAAATTAGTTACTCACATAGACTACAAATTTTAGACTAAATGTGCATATTTGCCTTTTTGTTTTTAATAAAGTAAGAAACAAAACACATGTATAGACACTTTCACTGAAGTGTTGAAAGTTTGAATTCTTAAAAACTACCAGTATGTGTTCGTTTGTACACAATCCAATGTAGACACTGATTCAAATGAAGAATTTGTACTTCTATCGAACAATTGTTTATCGAATGCTATCAGTCTATAAAATATCTACCTGTTTAAGAAACAATTCTTGATAAATAACAGGTGTTCAGCATTAAGAAAAAATAATTCTGCAAAATTTCCATTTTATCGCACATTCTTTATATGTGTATTTTTTAAATCTGTTGATCTCATTAACCTCTTTATATTCTCCACAATTGCGTCACATGGTTCAATCACACGAAAACACTATATTAAAAATACAATGCATACATAGAAAGATATGAAAAAAACACGCACATAATTCATGATGAAACAACCGCACACTGCGAACATGATTGAGATACTGCTTACCTCGAATGCTGAACTATAAGTGAACCTTCAATACCACCTCCTTAGATACGTGTCCTTGTTTCGACACAATGTTGAAAGTTAACTTGTGTCTACGCATATCACCAATATATCTATACTACATCAGCTGATATTAAATTGCAAATATAATCCATGTTACGTCTGTTTATGAACCTGTGAAGTTGAATTAAAATTTTATTTATTAAACACGTGTGCCAGATATATATTATCTTTACATTGCTAAATTTTTATAATCTATATTTTAATCGGGCAAAATAATTCTCAATCACATAAAGCAGTTATATGTATAAATGTGTTAGTAAAAGTGGATCATCAAGATTTAATCATGCACGAGTCTATCAAAATTATAATAAATACTACACTCAATTAAAATCAAATTTAATACTATTTAACACTTGCACCCTTATCGTGAATCTAGAGATAATTTGAAAAGTACTTGCTGATAGCAAACTTGGAAAAGACAATAATAAGACAGTTTACGATTTAGGAATATAATACGATCGAAATTAAATAGAATTAAAATAAGTAGAACCGAAAGTTTTCACTTAACCAAACATATCGTAAACATATTGATCATTATTAAATTTCAATGACTCATTTTATATATAATTAATATAATTCTTTATTTCACTTACCTTTTATACATATGTTGGTTTATATTAAATGTTAAGTCATTGACTTTTTATTGACTTAACTCCATATTTAAAATGCACCTTCTTACCATTTGAGTAGTGAGTGGTTACCCTTAAATTACACAGAGTGGCGCTAGATATCTAATACACGTAATAATTCCTTGAAATAAATATCAATAGAATAATTATGCATTCTTATTAATGATGATATTATAAAATGAAGAAAAATTTGATTGTGCAGAAGTAAGATATACTAATTAAAATATATGGGATATACATGTACAGAATATAACCATAATTTTCATTGTAAATAAATGGAAAATTTGTTACATTATATATGTTGTGAATTGCTACATATATTACAATTTTATTTTTATATCTATATGATTATCAATATTATTAAGCAAGAATTAAAAAGATATTTCCCTTAGATTACCATAATATTTAATAAATTTATTAATTTCTAACTTTTAAAACCTGTAATCTGCATTTATGGCTAAGAACATTTAAGGTAAATACAACTATTTTCTGTAAATGAATTTAATGTAAAATTTCTGTGATAATACTGACAAAATCTCACGTACGTGACAAAATGCAAAAATTCAAATTTACCGCTTTTTACGTACACGCTGATGTCTAACATCTCAAATTGATAGAGCGTTGAACGCCATCTTTATTGGTTTTATGAGACGCGCGGGGTACAGCGGTAGATGTGTCAAATCGCGAAATCCACCACAATATCTGGATGAACATGGTGTTTATACAGAAAAGATGATTTGTAACGTCCGATTTCGATGTAAGTAATACATCGCGTTTGATGATGATGTAAAAAACTGTAAGACCTCAGACACATTGATTTGTGTCGCTCAATATATTTGCTAACGCGAGATTTTGTGACCAGCCATCCTTTCTACGGTGAAAACCCTCTTTAAGAATCAAACATGTGATACAAATCATTAATATTGATGATTTTTCAATTTTTTTGTGATGTGTCAGTTCGTTTCTCGTGACCTAACAAAGTGATATAAAGAAGTTTATTTTAAGAAGAATTTCTTGACAATAGATACCATCCATTTTGTTTATGCACCTCCTGTACGTCTCGTCTCAAAAACATCGTACTTCGTTTTCATCTTCTCGTTTTTGAATGTTGTTATTTATGAAAACATCAAATTTGAGTAGAATAAACTCATATTGTTTGGGTCGTAATTAAGGTATTATATTACTTGATTTTTTATACTTTTTATCGAAAAATTATTATCGCTTGTGCCGTGAATCTATGTTTTGATTTAGTGTTTATATGTCATTCATTCTTTCAATTTTATTTATGTCACTGAGCATCCATATCTATGATTTTTACAATTTCGCGATAAAATTATTTGGAATAATACACGATATATTTTATCTGTAGTAATATGTGTTTATAAGTTACCATGACATGTCTTCACATTTTAAGGCAATATTTAATAGTGATGTTAAGTTAGAAATAAACATATTTCAGTTGAATTAACAAACCTCAATTATGAAATTAAGTTCATATATCTTTTTTCAGGTGTGTAAATTGATGAAAAAATGGTTAGCAACATTTCTCGGGGCACTCCACGTATTCAGGTCTTTAGACCTACATACGAAGAATTTAAAGATTTCACTAAATATGTGGAGTACATGGAAAGTAAAGCAGCTCATAAAGCTGGCTTAGCAAAAGTAATTCCACCACCTGAGTGGATTCCCAGAAAAAGAGGCTATAGTTTAGATGACTTAGATCTTACAATTCCTGCTCCAATTTGTCAGGTGGTAACTGGTAAACAAGGTCTTTATCAACAAATTAACATACAGAAGAAATCAATGACTGTTAAAGAATATAGCAAGTTAGCTAATTCTGAGCGGTATAATACTCCACGACATTTTGATTATGAAGATTTAGAAAGAAAGTATTGGAAAAATATAACATATGTGGCACCCATATATGGAGCAGATGTATCTGGTTCATTAACTGATCCAGATGTAAAAGAATGGAACATTAATCATTTGGGAACAATACTTGATTATGTGAATAAAGATTATGGTATATCTATTGATGGAGTTAACACAGCTTATTTATACTTTGGAATGTGGAAAACTACATTTGCATGGCATACAGAGGACATGGATTTATATTCAATAAATTATTTACATTTTGGAGCTCCAAAAACATGGTATGCTATACCACCAGAACATGGTCGGCGATTAGAGAGACTAGCTAGTGGATTCTTCCCATCAAGTTATCAAAGTTGTCAGGCTTTCTTACGTCATAAAATGTCTCTTATTTCTCCTCAAATATTGAGGCAATATTCTATCCCATGTAATAAAGTATGTTTCAATTACTTATATGAAACAAGAGGTATATAAAAAAAATAAGAATTATTGTTAATAACCTTTTTTTATTTTGTAGATAACACAGGAAGCTGGAGAAATCATGATCACTTTTCCTTATGGATATCATGCTGGTTTCAATCATGGATTCAACTGTGCTGAATCCACTAATTTTGCTACTCCACGATGGGTAGAATATGGTAAAAGAGCTACACAGTGTACCTGCAGTAAAGATATGGTTAAGATATCTATGGACACATTTGTAAAGCGTTTCCAGCCAGAAAGGTAAAATAAAATTCTTAGAAATATATGTATTAATTAAAATTCCTTTTTTTTTGTTTTGTTTTGTTTGGTATTAATTTGGTATTAATAGGAATAAATTGAATAATATTGAAATAATATTGAAATAATATTGAAATAATATTGAAATAATATTGAAATAATATTGAAATAATATTGAAATAATATTATAGGTATGAATTATGGTTACGTGGAGAAGATATTGGTCCTCATCCTGAAGATCCTAAACAAACAGCTGCACCAATGCCTTCTCAAATGGATCTTTTATGTAGTAATAGTAGTAATGGACAATTACCGCAAAGTTATTTGAATGCTGCTCCAAAAAATAAACGGCACACGATACATAAGAAAAAGAATATAATGACTACGAACCCGGATGTTGATATGGAGGAGTTAGTAAACCGTCCCGATATTCCACCAGATGTCAAGAAAGTATTACAAGATTTAGAATTGGAAGAAGTAGAGGATCAGCCAGATGAACAGCAGTTAGAAGTTTTAGAAGATATATGGTTGAAAGCAGGAGAAATGGGTAAAAAGCTTATTACTATTATACTTACTATTACTATTATCAAGTTTTTTTTTTAATGAATATGTATTCATGTATTTACTTTTTTTTTTAATTTGTTCCTAATTTTTTAATACGAATTTAATAAATAATGTCTATCACAGATGTGAACGAGGCTTCTGTCTACGATGATGGTTACAATCGCAAGAAAAGTCGAAAACGAAAGAAAAAGAACGCTGATAAAGATAAGTCCAAGTCCAAGAAAGATTATAACAAAAGTATTACTGAAGATGTTACAATGAAGACTGAAATAAAAGTAGAAACAGATGACAGTTTTAATTTTCTGTCTCCTGTATTCCCGGAGCAAAGTGCTCAGTTGGAAAATGACGATCAAGGAAGTTCCAACATTACACCAAGTGATAGTATCATTGAAAACATAAAAGTAGAAGAAGGTTCCGATTTCTCGGAAGTCGTCGATAAACCAGTGAAGAAAAAGAAAAAGCATTCAAAGTCTGGAGAACCAAAGAAAATAAAATCAAAGAATATGAACAAAACTAAACGTAAACATTTAAATATGTCCATTTTCGATACTAATGAACCTTTAGATGTATCTGATGCTGACGTACAACGGAAATTAATGGCTATGCCAAGTCTTAATTTACATAAGTCTTCAACAGGTAATAAAGATACCACTAACCATTTATCGGGGAATATAATTTTCTCTGAAAACGAAGTTAATATAAATCCCATTAAAGAAAAAACTGTTATAAGTATTATAAATAGTGGTCAAACTGCAAATGCTATATATAGCGATACGAGGGAGACAGAGAAGATTACAGATAATACTGCAGATGAACGACTAAATTTATATACAAAGACTGTGAAGAAATCTACCGTAACTGTGAAACCAACATTTTCTAAGCCAATTTCAGTAAAAAATATTTCTTCTGATCAAGTGAAATCCATTAATAAAATTGACAAAGCTGTAGAATCTGAATACATCAGCGAAGATACAAACATTGCTATACAAGAAACGAAACCGGGAACATATACTACTTGCAAAAGTGTTGGAACAATTATAAGTGAGAGATCCATACTTAATTACACAAAGAAAGATATTATAAAAGCACCAAGGTTGAGCGTTTTAAAATCAGCTTACAATATAACGGCAACCGAAGTATCTCCAAAAGTTGATACTGAAAAATCAGTCAGAGAGGAGAATGATACTCATGTATCACCGAAAAATATAGTGGTTTCACCAAAGACTTGGCCTATTACCAAATCACGAGAACCTAAGCTCTCAGGATCAGGCATTATGTTTTTAAATACGAGTTTTTCTAATCCACCGATTTTACAGAAAGAAACCTTAGCTCAAGAGTTGGGAAATGAGGTAAAGACTGTGGAACTTTCAAAATCTATAACTCCATGCGCTATTCAGATACCACAGTTAGAAAATTTCTTTGCGAAGAACACGGTCTTAGCACAGCCGTTAGCTCAACCTGTAACGTGTGTAAGTGGAACGAATACAGATATTAAGAATCTTGGAAAAAGATCTACTACGGATACATCAAAAATGATGGCGACAAAGTTCTGGCAACCTTCAACTAGTAACAATAACTTTTTCTTCTTAAAAGATACGAGAGATGACAAGAAAGCTCATTCTACAATCACAAACTACGACACTTCTGAAGCCTCTGTCTCGTCTTCCTCGTTAAGTTTAAAAGGCAATAGCACATTCTTTCTAGCTACAACTTCAAAGTGCACAAACATTTCGTTAAATCCTCAATCCTCAATGATGATTGACTTTAATAAGAAATATTTACAAACTTCTAGTTCAGTTCCGAATACAACTGGTTCCTTTGTGAAAATTATACCAAAATCACAAGATCAGTTACTCATGAAAAAGACAATTAATCAGAAAGAGGACATTTGTAATAGTAGAAAGCCTTTTAAGAGTACAGGTACAATTGTTAGTAATGTGAAAACTGTATCAACACAAGTAGATAGCCCATTGGAAGCTATACAACTCAGTAAAAATGTAAATATTACAAGTTTAGACATTGGTACACAGTACACTACGAATCATTCCATCACAGATTTACAAGATATCCAGAAAATGATCACTATTTCGCCCTTACAACAAGAGCAATTTTCGAATGTAATTACGGTCGACGATAAGTTACAAACTCAGTGTATACTAAAGAATGCGGAAGGTATATATACTGGTGTGCCACCATCGAAACAGTTAACAAACTCTAGGCGAAAATCAAAAGAAAAATTAAAGAAGGCGACCACTAGGAAAAAAGAATCCATAGAAACAAAAATACTCACATCAACAACAAATTTAGAGGAACTCAGTACAATTACATGTTCTGTGGAACAAACACCTTCCGTATCTCATCGTGTGACCATGGTACCAGGACATATATCCGATATGCTGTATCCTAGTGTCCCAAATAATGACTTACTAAAGGCATTCAATGATTACTGGAGTGCTCAAATTTCTCACTGTGCAATTTGTGCACCATTTACCTCAAATTGTAATGGTCATGGTAGGTTGATGCCTCCAGACTGGAAATATTGTAAACCGACCGTTTTACCAGAGAGTTCACCGATATGGGTAAATAATATTTATCTCTGTTTAAAATTCCATGTATCGAGAAGAAATTTTATTAAAACGTATTTTTTAGGTATCTGCGAATATATTTGTTGCAAATTCAAAGGAACAAATCGTTGAACCGGAAAATGATAAGCTTTTACGTTGTAGAGAATGTCACGTCACGGTGCATGCCTCCTGTTACGGAATCACCGTATTACCTACAGATCTACGAAATTGGGCTTGCGATAAATGCAAGGCTGGTAAAACGCAGGTGGTGCGTACTTCTGAAGCCGTTTTTGTACTTTATAATACTTTTATTTTTTATATATTCCTTAATTAATTTGTACCGTTATACAGATGTGTTGTTTGTGTCCTATGCGAGGAGGTGCTCTTAAACGAACTAGTGATAGTAATTGGGCGCATATATTATGCGCTCTTTTATTACCAGGAGTAACTTTTAAGGATGCCATAAATAAGGATCCTATCAACGTACTGACCATCAAACCAGATAATGTGAAACAACAGTGTTGTTATTGTGAACAAAAGGATGGAGCATGTCTTAATTGTAACCAGTGTTCTAATTTGTTTCATCCATCTTGTGGTCTTGTTTCCGGTGCCACGTTTACAATACCCGTATACAATTCACCTGAATTACAGGTATTGATAAGTTGATAAATATATATATATATATATATATATATTTTATGTACATGTAAAATTCTGTTGAAAAATAGTAATGAGAATTATACATAGGTAACTTGTGACGGTCACGATGATGGGAAAGAAAAAATACCGACAATTCGACAAGGAGAAACTGTTTGGGCAAAACATCGTAATACACGATATTATAAGGCCAAAGTAGATTCTATACATGATACTCTGTTTTATATGGTTACATTCAGTGATGACAGTTTCAGCGAAGATTTATATCCATCAGATATTACGGTAAATATATGTACATGTATATTTATTTTCTTGTTTTAATTCTATTTGAAAAGTCTATGCTAAAATTTTTATTATTTTTTATAGAATTATGATCCAGGAAACCCACCGCAACAAGGCGCAGCAGTTGTCGTGAAATGGACCGATGGAAACTTGTATAATGGTATCTTTGAAGGTACAAATCACCGAATCATGTATACTGTGAGTAGCGCATAATAATTTTTTTAATACTATTTTTATTACTAATATTTCAGTAATTATTAATATTTTACAATTCGTAATTACATTTTAGGTAATTTTCGAGGATGGTTCACAACTTGTTTTGAAACGAAATGAAATTTATAGTTTACAAGAAGATATGCCAAAAAGAGTTCGTTCACGTTTGGTGAGTTTAGTGATAAACTAATTTATTTGCGTGAATACTTTAGTAGGATTCTTAGGAGTAGGATTCTTTTTATATGATTCACCTTACTTTTTTTTTTTTATTTCTGTCGTATTTTTATTTATGATTTATTTGCTACGAACTTATGTTGGTTTTTTATTGTTTTAATTCATTTCACTGAAGTCTGTTGCGACCGAAATGAAGCACCGGTATCATCTGTACGGCACGGAGGATGAATCGGAGGCGCAAAGAAAGGTGAAACAGTCGAAATATTGTGATTAAAACAAAAATGATATACGGTTCGTTGTAAATAATTGATAGAGACAAATAATATTCAGCTATTGTACATAACATATACGAATAATTATACCTAGTAATTTGGTCTTTTCTAAACTCGAATGCACTTTAGAATAGACCAAATGGATAGATTTTTACTTATCTTTATTTTCATTTCTTATTTCATTTCTGTTTATTTTGTTCCTTCTCTTTCCTTTTTTGCTTTCTTTGAAATTTCAATTCACTGATATTTTTTGTCAGTGTTACACTTTTTCCTTTTTCTAGTATGCCACCATTTGTTGATTGCACTCATTGTAATGAGTATTGATAAATTCTCTTTTGATAAAAGAAGAAGGAATTTAATATAGGTGTTACAATTTCTTGTCAGGAAAAGATATTAAAGAAATAGTGTTATGGATTACGCGTCGTTCTAACCCATCTGGTGGCTATAATTAAGCACCTTCGAGTTTTTAACTATTTATCACATAATTAGGAAATAATATGGATTCACTATCTTCTGTCGCACGAAACGAAGCGTAGTGTTTTCTTATCCCTTATATTTACACGCAGTTAGGACGATTTACCGAATACAAGTTGTTGAAGACAACATACTATTCAGCAGATTATAAGGATCAAAGCAAAAATAATAAAGTTTATGCGATGTATTTCTGTATATAGCTACAGAATGTGAATACGATACAAGATGTTTTTAAGCAATGAGTCCCATGTACGTAATTTAAAACCATTTTTTACTTTGTTCTATAAATAAGAAATGAAAAAGAACTGAAACTGAACATTTCAAACGTTTCCATTGCGTGTATCTCGATATAGATCATGTTAAATCATAACATTTTATCAAAAACATGTGTAGAATTGTATTTAAAGTTATTCATTATAATAAACCACTTTCAGAAGGGCTCAGTAGTTGTTTGTAGTTGTATATTTCATATACAATTTTTTTTTTACATCTTCATTTCATGATCCGCAAAATCTATTGTATAAATAATAAAAAGGTATATAGCTATCATACTGAAATTACAGCTACTAAAAGATTACACCTAAAAATGCGGTACATGTTTCTTCAAAATACAATTTTTGTGTGAAATATTTAAATACGAAATTCTAGATTCATTTTACTAGTCATTGACATTGATAATTTGTTTTTATTGGTCACAAAAATATTTACTATGTTAAAAAAGTAACTGTTTGCTTTTTCTTGCATTTTAATTTCTATGACTACTATTGATCCCTTTAACGTGGTGCTTTGTATTACGAGTCATATTTCTTTCTTTTTTCTTTTTTTTCTTTTTTTTTCTTTTTTTTTCTTTTTTTTTGTGTACCATTAATAAATTGTAGTACTCGATCATTACAAAACTATTGAATGAACGTGTGCAATGCAGAAAGGAGCGAGCGTTTATTATTCTGAAAATCGTGTCATTCTTTCCTTATGTTAAAATCGTCGTATCAATATTATTACATCATTTTGACATAGTTTTTGTACGACGATATGTTTCCATCTTTCTCTTGTATTCTTTATTTTATTGTGTCGTATTCCTAGTCCAATATAGTGAACACGACACAATGGTGAAGTTTAATGAAGCACCGATATATAATTGTATCTATATTTGTAGAAGAAATTCATTATTCAAGACAGTGTTCATATGATCTCTTGAAATTTGTTCCCTAGAAATTTGATTTACCCTCGAAAATAAAGATATGCGTGTATGCGCACGCGTCAGACGAGCTATAGTTATAACTTAAAATTTGTGTAATTCGTGCGAAAAAAGTTATCATTTCCCTCGGCCATGTCATAATACCTATTAATTAAAATAGGTCGGAGGGATTGTATTATCGTTCTATCTGTATATGATATTAATGAAAGAAAAAGTGAATAATGTATCCAAGTGTAGAAACAGACTGGATACAGCGTATAATAAAAACTAAATATATAAAATAGTTTTTTTCTTCCTGAATCATCGTAATATATTTTTTATTAGGAAGTATGAATTTGAATAAATCATTTTTTCCAAATTCATTTAGTATTTACTCATATAAATTTAGTTGTTCTTTTATCATAGTCTTAAAAGAAAGATTGGAAAATAACTTTATAGATAATGTATAATTTGTTATATATTAACGATTTTATTTCATACTCTATAATGTGATAGGTATTTTAATAATTTTGTCTTTCAGCTTTACAGAAAAATTTGCTTGCCTGTAAATAATAAATACAGTAAAAAGTTGAAATTATAAAAAGCAATTGAAATTTTTAGATTTACACGCAAACCGAACTTTTTTACTGTAAATATATATTTTCCAATCGGTATTTGAAATTGCCAAGATTGAGTTTTGTGAGATAATTGTAGTTCGCTTTTTATATAAAATTACATTTAAACACTGCTATTTATTTAGAGTTACGAAAATGCCTAAGAAATATATCACAGTGAATAGTTAGATTCGTTACAGTAAGAATAAAAAAAGGGATCCTTTTCGTGGAATAAATTTAGCAGTTTTGCTAACCTACTATAAACAAAATATCATTCTCCTTTAGAATTATCGCGGTTGAATTAAATAAAACATGTGAATAATATCCTGATATTAATATTATAATTTTTATAATATCATGTATTGTTTGTAACAAAGTTTGGTACATTAAGTGCTTAAGTATTTGATCTAATATTGTTTCCAATTTTTTAAATTAATAATTCAAGCGATTGGTAATCAGTTTTTCAAATTGATCTTACTGCAACAGTGCAATAATTATATTTAACATAGAACATTGATTACCTTTAATTAGAGTATACTTTTATCGATGCATTATTGAATAATCAATAACATTGCATATGAAAATGCGATAAAAAAATATGTTTCTTTCTTAATTACTATGTGCATTTTATATTACGTTTACGTAATATCTAAAACGAATTACAGTATATATCGCGGATATCTTAAAGCTTTTCGTGACTCATTCCGTATGGAAGTCTCTAATATAAGAAATATATTTAATAAAAGAAGCGTATAATAAGTTAATAGCCTTGGCAATCGCGAAGTAACACGGTAAGCGTGGAATAATAATAAATTTTTAATCAGAAACTCTATCTACTAATAGTACGATAAAATTTTTATATTAAGAACCAAAAATTTCCAAATATTAACTTCAATTAAAATCTTTCCATAATTCATAAGTACAATGTAACAATATACATTACCAAAATTTAATAGACAATTTTGTAAAGTTTCATATTTTTTTTTTTCATTGATTAGGTGGCTTTTAAAAAAGAACAGATTTATAATTAATAGAATAGGTTTATCTTTAGTGCAACATAAAAGATTCAACCTTTTATCGATCTGTGTTCACAAGATTCTAAAGAAACTCTTTCAGCGCCATCTCTACGGTAAACAAGCCGCAATGGGCTGATACAATACTGGATCACCGAAATCAGGAATGAGTTAGTCTTTATCTTCTATTAAGTTTGCACCAGAGAGCACTAGCAGTTAACAAATGCATTAATACCCCGATACCGAGGATTAAAATAAGATTGTTCGCAACACTTGTATCAGCTATGTCCATTTCCTTGAGAAACTGAGTTGGTTTTTTATAATGACAATAGAAATCATCACATTTTAAATCCATCCGATCGAAACCATAAACAGTGTGTAAAAGGCTGTGAAAGCTGGCACGAAAGTACGATATGTGAAACATCCATCGGAACATCTGTGGTGTATCCATGTAACGAATACAGAATCCGAACACAGAGAATAACACTGCTATTATAGGTCCGGCGAATACAGCGATCTATGAACGAAAGGAATTGTGTATTAAATTTCTTTTTCAAAACGGAATCAACTTTTCGCTTTTCTCTTGAATCAAAATATTGCAACGAAAATACTTCTAAGATTTATTTTCCTACTATGATTCTCGTAATTACATAGTTATAAGAAATATTTAAAGAGTACATACCTTCACTGGTGTGGTGGCACCAATGAAGAAGCCCCATGCTTGAGCTGTCAAACTGGCGGCTATACTAACGATCATGAAAGAAATTATGCGGGCAGTTTCTATGGGTTGTCCTGTTAACCAGTAACTCACAGCCAAATAGGTCGCTGCACAAGACGCTTGAAATGGTATTTCCACTAGCAGCATACTAATATAGTAAGGTGCTAACCTATACCACCGATTGAAGTGTTCCCTCGTCAATATCCGCATTTCCTGTGGAACTGAAAATAATCCAAATATTTTTTCAGTTATTCGAAAATGCATGATTCTTAAATATTTAATAATAATTGAATTGGAAATATTTTAACTATAACAAAGAAACAGTATTTATAATAATAATAATAAATGTAATTAACGTTTTGTCAACATCTTTATATAGTACTTCGACTGTACTATAAAATTAATGTTAGAGGTACTCATTTTGAACTTACGAAATGGACTAGTGCAAGGAAATTTATTTGGACGTATTATTTGCAAATTCGGTTTCAATCGATGATCGATATATCACGATATTAAACACGAAATGTATGAAACCTGAAGTTTAGATTAAATTCACCTTGAAACACTTTCTAAAAAAAAAGGAAGGAAGAAAAAAAGAAACTGGTTGTGGAAATATTAGCCATTTATGGGAACAATTTATATAAATATAAGGATGAAATATTGGCGTCATTCGTGAATAAAAAGTGTCGACACAGCTGAACCGGTAGGCAACGCTTCAATAGGCAAAAGAGATGCATATGGCCTGCGGGAGTGAATGCCCACTAGAGATACTGTTAACTCTATCGTGTGTTGCGATTCAACCTGAGATACAACCACACGTTATGGCTCCTTGACCTACATTTTCTACCTGGCTTCTATTGGTGGCGCAAAATGATAGCAACGTAAACGGAGGATCGAATTGTGAAAACTGAATTTCGATATTTTTCCTTCGCTGTAACTGCAACTTTTTCACAGTTGAAATGTTAAATAAAACTGTCACCGTTAATACGAATTAACACCAACGAAATTCGATTAACAAGTATATAAGGTTAACGTAAGATCTTTTTGGAATTTTCTAGGGACCATAGTATTAATATAAGTGTAAGCACAAGTTTAAGTAATTTCGAAATCCGGTTCCCTAATTTTTTGATGTTAGTTACGTACTAACAACTGATAAGAGAATAGAATGGAAGAGAATAAAATTTGTCAGCGTATAAATTTGATTTAAGAATTTACCTTAGCTTAAAAATATATAAATCGTCAGTAATCGTTGAAACAAATTTAAAAAAATAAAAAGATGTCAATAACTCATGAGAAGGGCACCGGTTGAGAATTTAGAAGAGAAGGTTACTAGTTCCTGATAGAGTAATGTCTATTATATATATATTTTAATATATCATATGTGATACATCGAAAACCCTTTAATAACGCTTAATATAAATTTTCTAATGTTTTAGGTCTCGGTAAATACTTACAAGCAAGTGTGACGGCCATTTTGCCTGTGTAAACAATCAGTAGCAACGACCCGTAGAGATAAACATAATTAGCGAGGACACCGTTCGCTCTATAGCCACTTCCCATGTACAGGTAGCCGAAGATTACTCCAATTAGCAAATGACACAACAGACGTACCAACAATAACGTGTAGTCTCTTTTTAGGCAAATTAACTGCCTCTTATAAAGTAAATAACATTGTGCGATAAACCCTGCCGGAAGGGGTGGTTCCTTGGTATTCTCTGTATCAACAAAACAGCATAATAATATAACAAATAATAAAATTCTTGAATATTGAAATTTTATTGAAATTTGGAATTTCAAAAATTGCATAATTTCTGGGATCACATGTCAGTTTAGATGCTTTTAAAGTTCTACATATACATATAATTATAATGAAGAAAAATTGGAACGTATACAGAAATAAATGAATAAGAAAATTCTATAATTACCATTTAACTGTGATTTCATCGTGTAAGTAACAGACTTGTCATCCTCGCACATTGTATCTACGGCAGCTGCTAATTTGTCTACGGTTATACCATAGTCACCGATCGCAACTTCTAAAACTGTAATAACAAATATAGAATTGTAATGCGGCTTAATAAGCACTACAATGCGAATGAATGACGTTATCGATTCAAGATCGATACTAATGTGAATAATAAAATACACGATATTGTCATCTGATACGATAAACTATGCAATATACGGTGAATGATTTTTTAATGACCTTGTGGTAGACTATGGCTCTCGTAGAGATTCCGGTTTGATTGAGTATGAAAATAATTTGAAAGGAATACTGTTCTACGTACGAAAGTCAGCCGGATTATGGTAAGGTGGACAATCAATTCCGATCGAGGACATATGAGGCAATAGCGATTTAACCGGCCCCCTGTATATGCAGTATCCACCAGCAACCGCATAAATGGCATCAAACATTTCTAAAAGCAATGCACTCGGTTGGTGTATTGTACATATTATCGTGCGCCTTTCTATTTTAGCAAGACGCTTCAGCAGTGCAATGCATTGGCTACACGAAGACGAATCGAGACCTAAAACATAAAACCAGTTGTTTTTATTTCCTTAAAATTTTGTAATTAAAAAATGTAATTCGTTTCATAAAATCGGCAAATAGTTTCATATTTCTTTTTTAATATTGATGAATTAGCAAGATCTCAAGTACGTAATATTCAATCATAGGAGTATGTAATTTTACGTTCCTGAGTTATTAGAACAACACCATGAAACGCTATTGTACTTCTTTATATATATTACTGACAATGATTCAACTAAATATTAATTAGTCATTATAAATACTGCGTGGTTTATACTGATAACAAAACACTGTATTTTGCTATGAATTCTAGCGATTAAGTTCTTATTTTTATTCCATACATATTTCAGGCTTTTAGATTCTTCAATATATATACTCTCGTTTTCTATTAAAACTATGAAGGGAAATTGTGAATTTCTAGTTACAAGAAAGTGATATGAACTAATAGGAACTGTATATCGTGATTATAACTATCGTGAACCGTGTACATCGCATCAGTAACAGACCTTGTACGACGAAACGTTCCAAGCATTCTTTGATCTAACTTTTAATGAAATTCAAGTGCCATCAATTGAGCATCAGTGTTACTTCAAATGTACATGTTTGTCGACTGGCTTTTTTTTATTATAAATGTACTGCTTACGAATGACGTCAAAGTTATTCAAATAACGCAATAGGCCACTACATTATACTTAAGATTTTTAGTTATAAATATATGTCTATTTAAAAAGCTATATAATAGCTTCGATTAAATATTTCTTTAATGCATTATACTATCGAAAGAGTTTTCGAACTTTGGATATTGCGTTTCTTATCTAAACACTGAAGTATTAATAATAAAAAAAAAGATATCAGAACCGATTAAGCTTGAAATCTAAATGAATCAAAAATTTCCAGGTTTTGTGAGCATTTTTAATAACGTATTGTAATCTTTTTTTGCTTTTTCTTCGTAAATACCATCTTGTAATCGTTTTCATCATCTTGTAATTAATTCTCTATTTGTATCATAGAATCATGTAAGTCTAGCAATTTTAATTCCATTTTTCTAAATGGCTATAGATAATTATAGTAATATGAAAATAAAAAAATTTCTATGAGAAATATATTTGATTGAAAATACAGATGAAATCATATTTTACGAGCTGATACTTCTATTTTTCTTTCATAACACATCATAGTTAGCGCATCATTAAATAATGAGTAAAATTTATTTTCGTTTATGAAACATGTTGAATACGTTAAGTAATATTAGTACAAGAAATATTCCGTAATTACCAGTTGTTGGTTCATCAAGGAATAATACTGATGGATTACTTAAAAGTTCGAGAGCAACATCCAGTCGCTTTTTTTGTCCACCAGACAGTTTTCCACATAGGGTGTCATAGCAATGGCTCAAACCTAACATTTCTAATAGTTCCAGTACCTGACAACAAAAATACCAATATTCTTCGTGACATGTTTTATTTCACATTTCGCTTGTAAATAAACTAAGAAGTCCGATTCAATTAATTTTTCAAATATCCATAACATTTATGGCAACTACCAAAAAAATAGGAAACTACAGAATTGCCAAAAAGAGCATTATAACGATATTATTTTTATCATTATCTTGTTGTTAAACAATTAAAAATGACGGTTAATATTAACTTTTAAAGGTGTTGTACATTATACAAAATGAATATGTAATTTCAAATTGTTTATGAAAGTACGAACTTGAGTATGTTTGTAAGCTGAACTGATACTGTAACCAAGTTTTAAGTGTGCTGCTAATGTCATGGCTTCTCCTACGGTGATCCTTGTTCTCATCAAGGATTCCTGTTGTATATAGCATGAAGTTCTCTTCCATGTCGCACTGTATGGTACCCTAACTTTCCCATTCACTAGAATCTGCCCGTGAACACCTTTCACTCTGAAACATTTTATTTTTAAGCAAATTAATTGTATTATTAAATTATTGATTTTTTTAGATATTGCAAAATAAAAAGTATTGTAATACAAAAATCTTGGAAATATAATAAATAAAAAAACAGTTTTTCTCTACAAGACATTATCGTTAGATACATTGAATTTTTGTAACATTTTACAATGTCTTTTTACATTATGCCAAGTTTTGAAAATCCAATAAAACATTACTGCTTTTTCATTAAAAATTATCCAAAACTTTTGAGGAAAGTGTTTAGTATATGTTAACACATTCAATAGAGTACAGTAAATAATTCTAAAAATGCTATTTATTAATAATCTAATTTTGCAACAACATTGCTTCATTTTTATTTTTAACTCTACAAGAAATAGAAAAGTTTGTGAAGTTAATTTATGTTGTAGTATTTTATTATAGATTCGCTTAAATTTGTCACTGATCAATTATAAGTTGTTCATGTCGTTATTATGCATATGTTTCTATAAATATATAAATGAAATGCAAATTATTCATGGTCATATTTTTTCTGCAACTATATCATCGAAATATCATTATTGATTATTTTTAACAGACTTTTATTTTATTTTCTTTATTATTATTTTATTATCATTTTATTCAATTTATGCTTAGTTTCTTTCTCATATTGTTTATTATATGCATATCTTAATTAATACTTTAATTATCCATAATTTAATCAATTTTCTTTTATAATACTCTTCTTGATATTCTTCGATGAAACATCTTACAAGTCGAATGCATGATATAACATTTCCTCTGATTCTAGAAATTACGGTACAATTTTTATCGTCATTGCGATAATTTGAACGAGTGTTACGTACTGTTCTCGATGTTGTATCGTCTATGGTTTACGTGTAAATCGCGACTTTGCAACTTTTACGTTCGCAGAATGAAATTCTAGAAAAACATATCTGTAATTACTCGCGGAAATGTCAATGTCATACACGTACTATTAACACGTGGATGACTAGCTTATACGAATGAATTCAAATAAGTTGCCTCTTCACGGAAGCATGCCAACAAATTTATTTCTGGAAAGATATTCAACTCTCAGTTTTTTTTTAACACCTTTCAATAACTAATTTAATAACTAAGAGGAGAAAAATTACCTTTCAGCAGCTACAAATATTTTTCGACTCGTTTGATCAATTAAAATGCTTTAAATAGATATTTTAAATATCCCGAATTACTATAATATTACTGGAAATACCTTCCAGTTTTTCTTAAAGTTCAAAAGTCTACTCAAAGTTACGAAATATTTAAAAGGGAACATAAAGAGTGGATCCATGTTAGCGAATCGATTATGACACGATCACAGGCCATTAATGATGGTGTTTAATCAGGTTCCTATATATCTTAAACTAGCTATAGTATTTTACTTGTTGCAGCCAGACCATGCTAACTTCACCTGAGTTTCTTCCATTTTTTTCCTCAATGCCATCATAATATACTAAATTATTCGCAGAGATCTATGGGAAATATTCATTTGCTATGTTAAGAATCATTTCTAGAGGAGGATAACGAACTGATCTTTTCTCGTGATAGAGAAATTTTAGTGTTCGCAACGCTTAAGAATAATGGTCAATTGCACTGGCCTACTTTTTGAAGTACTAAGGATTAATTATCTTCTTTAGTAGATGACAGTTATGTCGCTGTATGTACGATCCCGCTCCTGGTGTTAAATGCAATCGTCAGAATGATGGATATGCATGTGCGTATGAATTTAAGCTCGTGCCTGATTCTTAAGAGTGTTGTTATGATAAGATATAAGGCACACTGCAGATTGTATAATCACGATCAAATGTACCAATGACTGGAAATGGTAAGACGTATTCTTAGTATCCTTTGCTTAGCTTTTTAATATAATTAAGAATTACTCACGTGTAACCGGCCATAACGTTCAAAAGAGTCGACTTTCCGGCCCCAGAGGGCCCCATTATAGCCACCATTTCACCAGCTTTGAACTCGCCACTGACTCCATGTAGAATTTCTTTCCGTTCTAGAATAGAAAAAAATAATATATCAGTTTTCTAAAACGCATTTGAAAGAACTTCAACTTTTCACTACAATTAATAAATCCAAAATTCTTTGATCCTAAAAAAAAAGAGAAAAAAAATTCCCATTTTAGCGAACTTCAAAATTCAGTATAATCGATATTCGACAGAATAATCATACTAAACATGTAAGGTTGTAAGTGAAATATCAACAGTGAGGTAAAAGCGAAAATTTCAACGAAATTTTGATGAAGAATCCTGTCTTAGAAGGACTTTGATTTTTTCAAAACAAGCTGCAACGTTCTCTACAGTAAACTGATTTGCATATTCTAAGAAATATGTATCATTGAAATGATTTATTGCTACAAAAACGATTCTACCTTTGTTACTATTTATATTGACGTTTTCTTCATTTTCTTTTTCTTTTGTTTTTTGTATAATTATTATTAGATCCAGCGAGGAACTTGTTTTTTGAAAAACAGCCTAAAACAGCAAATAACAAAAATTTATTTCATACGATTTATGACTGACTTTGTTAACAGGATAATAATGACTTCTTCGTTGATTATAAGTGACAAATGACGATTGAATTTATATGAGGTCACCCAGGGGAATCGCAAAAGATCACATGCGATCCGAGATAAGAGTGATCAAAAGGCGAGTATTATGCGCTACAGTCATCGATTAAACGCGTCAGAAATCCGTTACTGAAACTGCAACTAAGCAACTGACGCATTTCGTCGCACAGTGCATCGCTACGAATACGTTTCGCTGCGTTTCCATGAAATTCGCGTGCAAGTTTTTCGAAAAATTACGCGGAGCATCGGTAACAAGAAATAGAGGAAAAATTGCCACAAGATGAAATAAAATATTCTTTAACTCGTTTTTCTAATAAAATCTATTGTGTTGTTCAGAAAGTAGTCTCGTATTTTTACCTATTTTATCTCGTATTTTTGCGAAACAAAATCGAGTTGTTTTACATTCGATAATTTTAACCTTTTAACGATATTTTGTATTATTATTCGATGGTTTGCTTCCTTAGATATAAGGGACTAAAGTGCAAAAGAATTTAACGATATTTTTTCATAATTAAATATTTCAAGTTTATAACCGTTTTTCCAAATTTTATCGATGCGTTATACTTCCTGCAAAAATTAATTTTCATACTTATCTAGAATGTGTATAAATATTTCTGAATTCAAAAGGAAGATAATATTCGAAACAGAATTAACGAGAGCAAAAAATCGATGACATTTGGTATCCGTTTCTGCAACGTAGTGCAATCTATTGACAAGAGATATTTGCCTCTTCAACACTTTTGCAGTACTTTTGTTCCTGATAAAAAAGAAAAAAATTACGAAATCTTTTATTCACTAAGAACCGGTCTCAAAAAGACAGATTTATCGATAAATTAGTAAATTTATAAAAGAATTTGCTTACATGTGATGCGGGAATCCATGGAGAGAAAAAAATTGACTACATTTAAGTCAGTAACACAGCTATCAATGCCACACATGATCAAGCTGATGTAATTCATAAATTTGTAAATTTACAGGTGTAGAAAATGGGAAGTGCATACACTGACAGCAAAATTGCCAAAGGTGTGAAAATGATTTGCTTCAGATATTTTGTTTTTAAAATTTCTGAGAACGTATAGGGTGCTTTTGAGAAAATTTATGCTTACTTTCATACGGATCAGAAGATAATTGTTTATAGCTATTCGCCTTTCTCGTGACACTATATTTATCTTCGTTTGTGTATAATACATATAGCTACTTATTATAGGTCGGTAGTTCGTGTTAACATCGACGAAATGTCTGCAACGTTGAATTATGTAATACATATTGCATGTGTGAAATACACTATACAAGAACCTACTTTTGAAGAATAAGTAGTAAAAAAGAAAACGAACGATAAAATGCGTATAAAACATACCATCTCTGTAACAAGAACATTACAAGAACCGTTAAACAGGCAAACCTAACCTTGTAGACCGAATTGTTATTGTGTCACGAACCTTGAAAAAGCGCCGCTGTTACACTTAAGATGAAATACAATTAAAAGTATGGTAATACCTTTCTTAGATAATGGCAGAAATTATATACGTTTGCCCATGTTCATAATAATGTTACATTTCCGTTTGGAAGTCGATAAATACTTGACGACATGACGTACGAACGTACGTGGGTGACAATGGATTTCATATGAATACTACATCGTTCAACAAGATTCAGTAAAAATCTATTCAGTAGCCAGTATTTTTCAATTTCTTTTTTCTTTCACACGTGTCATGAATAGGAATGGAAAATGAATGTAGTGCACTTGCAAAAAATGTACTTAACCTGCGATTTGATTTTTACGTGTGATTTTCAGTTCTGTCATGATTTACGAAAAGAATGCGTTGAGTATTAGCATACAACTCTAATAAAGTAACGATGCAGCACCGTTGCTACATATAATTATGTACAGTATATGCTAACGCAGTAATTTTTAACCAGTATTTCGGACTTGTCCCAAGTATTTCGTGATATTATGAAAGCTCACAATACTTCTGTCAAAGAATCTTTCTTAAAATTCTCACAAATATAATATTTTTGGAATTATTACTTGCTTCTTTTCTTTACCGTTATGTAATCTGTAATAAAAATATAATATTTAATAGAAGATATGTATATACTTATTTCTATTATTAAATTTATAGTCTCAGGAATTCTAGTATTCCTTAAATTTCAGAAAGTTAAAAACTACTGTCCTAACCTATACCTTGTTGTTCAACGCAGCGATCTGATATCGAATTTAATGGCAGTTGAAATTAATCAGAATTTTATTAAAAAGAAAAAAATATTAAATAATTAAAAATCGATTTACAAAAAGTCATAATCACAAGTGAATTAATGATCATACAAATATTTCGCATCGAAATTAACGACGTATCTTTTCCTCTACGTCATCCATGAATAATACAAGAATCCTTGTAAATCAATACGACCGATTAAACTTCGCTATGCATGTACTATACATCTGCCCACTGCTGAGTCGCATTCAATAAAGGCGAATTCACCGACGAAAACTACACGTTATCGATCTTATACCAATTATAACTTAAGTTACTGACAACTCGAACACACGATTCGCTTCCTCAATTTACGCGGGACTATTTTTACGCGGCAAATTAGAACACAATTTACGCGCACTACCTTTGCGCGGTAAATTTGAACACGATTTACGCGGTAAATTTGAACACGATTTACGCGGTAATTTTCGCGTGCTATCTTAATATGCTATTTTATCGTGAGTTTTATAAACAACGGCATATAAACCGGGGCATCGGTTGGCACCAGTGGTAAAGATGAGAATAAAGCCGAAAGTCAAACCATCGAGAGATTCACTCTATTACCAACAGACATTTTTTGCGCGATTTTCATTGGCGTAAAATCAATCCACGTGGAACAGATACACCGCACAAATGAGAGACGTCTGTACATTTTCAGTATCTGTCGGAACTCGTTATATAACAATAATTATCCGTTTTTACTTCATAGAAGATAGCTAGCACAGGCTCTCTAGCACAGGATTCATGCAAAATACAAATCAAAATCTTGAATTAAGTATATCTTAATTATGCAAATGACAAATAGCTTGTTTTATATTTTGCGACACATCTAATAAATCACGAATACCTACCGTGGAATTATTAATATTAAATCGCGGTCATGAAATCTCAGAATACATATCAACGATACGTATAAATATATTACTACTAATAAGAACTTCACACCCTCTTTATTAATTATCGGACATAAATTACTACTCTCCCTTTATCAGCGCGAATCCAATTTTTATATTCACATATTTTTCTCTTCGTTCGTTATGCATTTCAAGACCATTACGATTTAAAATGATATAAAAATGAAATATAGCTTTGAAATTTCCATAATTGACTACGTTGTCTTTTACACGTGAACGGCAAACAGTGGCGCCCTCTCGGTCGCTTCTCGTCTCCCATCGATTGCAATCTTTTTTACCAGCTTCTAACACGGTGAGATCTTTCCAAAATGTCCAACGCCACTTTCTCCATTTAAAACTTTCTTTGCTACTCTCAGGACCACTTCGACGTCGCTTTCTCCCGACGTCACGGTCGACATTTAATACGTTAAAAAGCGGAGAAACCCGCGTGATCGACATCGACTGATCGTGCTTTTATCGTGTACTGACCTACGCGACGTGGTCTGTTCTAAAAGTAATGAAATTCTATTTATAAAAGACGTTCTAGATTACATTTTCAACAGTCAAAGCAACCGCTTCCAAAGCATACGTAATGGAACGATATACCAATGACATGGTCTAATTTTTTAGAATATTCACATGTTTCATCAGGGCTACTCGAATGTCTTCGATTGTATGGAAATGATGAACTTTTCGATGATTCTTCTCCAATTGTAAGTCTCACATGTAATACCAAAAAAAAGAATAAAAATGTTATTAAAGAAATTTAATCAAGTTAAAGTGAGAATAAAAATAATAAAAATTAATTTTGTGTGATAATAATTTAGAAAATAATTTCAACCTTTGCCCCTAAATTAATAATAACGAATTTAAGCCTCGTGCTTCGTGTGTTATTATCTTTCTCATTATATTCACATCACAAAACTTCTTTGCGACGGAATTCGCTGAAACGAAACGTATACAGCTTATTGACACTGCGATGTTTGATATCCGGTAACCACTTCCACCGGCCATATAATACCGCGATGTTCGCTCCTACACTCGTCTAACCTACTTTCGCTTGTACCTTTGCACTCTTTCTAAAAAACCGGCACCAATTTATAACAGAGTAAACAATGCTCCTGACACGGGGACCTTACGGCAGTAGAAATCATTTTTGGAACGGTAGTAGGTACAGGTTATAGTGTATACCTAGTATCAAAAAACCCTAATAGGTTTCTTCACAATGGGCCTTCGTTTTCGAGATATTTCGATTTAAAGTTTTGTACTTTATTACGGTGTTTTGATACTAGATATGTACTATAACCGTTCAAAAAGCCATAAGATCCCCTTGTGAGTACATTGGGGAAATCTTCATTTCATCGAGAATACTGTAGAAAACGTAATGGACATAACGCAATGCTCAAGAGAAAACAATATAAATTAATGTTTTGGAGAAAGATCGTGATCTCGTGAAAGTAGGAGATTCATGATACTTTGGAGGAAATTTGTATACACTGTAGAAAATAATAGAAAGAAACGACATACTTTGAAATATGTATCTGTAACACGAGAAAGATTCTCGTCTTGATATACATAACCTAATTCGTATACCTAATCCTCGTATTAAGAAACAGTGAATCTAGCGTTTTTTCTCCTAACCTATAAAATCTATTTATCGTATTTACACTAATTTTAAAACATTTAAGACACTTCTATTTAAATAAGTATTACAATTAGAATTTTTATCTGATTCGCTACATTTTTCGTAATTCGTAAAGCAGATGAGGTTAACTTACTCGGTTTCAAGTTCCGAATGGTCCATTCTTTCACTGTGTACCGAACATCGTAAAAAGAGAGATTCACTTCGGGCCTTTTTGGAAAAGAATATTTTTCTTGAATGAAGTAGCCATCCGTTGCAGCGATCGCCACTCCGTGTACATCATTGTGGCTGTTATGGTCTATTTGACAGCAGCTCAACGATGATTTGGACGGGGAGCAGGGGGCAGAGGTGGTCATCGTTCGATATTCGATTGAGATTTCTTTCCACGAGTGTCGCTGCGTTCGTTCTGACCACGATTTACGTCTGTAATCGCATGTCTAGCACCACACCAGCGATTCCGGCCTTCTCTCCTTCTCGATTGGCCGATTACGGTTTTTATATCTAATCAATTATAATTCGCACATCGTTCAGCCACACGTTAATCTGCAACAAGAAAAAAGCAAAGGTCGATACGTATTCATATTCGCAACCACTGATATAAAATATCGTTTTATTTCATATACATTGACTAAATTTTAGACATTACCAGGAAAGAATATTTTAAGGAAAACACTAAAAAGTTTCTTTACATTTTCAATACAAAATGGCGCATAATATATGTGCTTATACATATTCCAAGAAAGGATACTATTTTATAATGAAATATAAATATTAATACCAAATATAGGTGATAAGATAACAAATGCCTGTAAGTATATATATATATATATATATATACATACTAGTCTGCCCCCTTAAGATGATAGAAATTTTAGAAAATTTATATCAATATGGTTACTACAGGGTTAGTCGACCAACGCGAGCAGGATAATTAGGAAATCCAAAGAGTAAGTGCAGCCGAGGAAATTTCTACACGAATATTCCTAGACTTTAAAATTACATGGTATTATAAACCGTTATTTACTGATTTCACTATGATTTGCACACTGCTTTATAAATTCTGAAAGTCGTTACGGTAGCATGATCTCACTTGATGTGGCAATGAAAGTGCCATAAAATCAGCTGTCGTTAGTATTAGTGCCGTAATAGTAAGAAAACCGGCTGTAGGAAGATTGGGAAAGAGCGTGCAAGGTGCACGGTGTGTCCTTGAATTTAGCACCTGAAATTTCAGACATAAATCGTGCTACTCGATCAATCTCGGTAAAACGATCGTATATAACATTCTGGCATTACAGTTTTTAAATTTCACGATTTCGTAGCATATCTTGCTTTGATGTTTATTCCCTGACCGGAAGTTAAATAGTATTAACCCTTTACACTCGTGAGACGACTCTCAGTCGCCATTTAATCTGATTCTAAAGATCGATGTTAATTAATATACCAAATTTGAAATTACCCAACGATGCATGGAATATCGAAGTAAAATAATTCTACATCTTAATTTGCATACGATTTCTCGGCTTTATGGCAAGTAGCTTTCGAATTACTATTTTTCTGTAACGAAAAGATTGCCGAGTGCAAAGGGTTAACAGTAACGTCGTTAGCAAATGGAAATTACAGTAAGAATGTAAATATTCACCGTGACTTTTTTTACGATCAACATGCCATAAGTTAAGAAGAAAACACGGAGCAAGTTCAGACAAATCGAATGAATATGTAAATTACCCATGACATCTTTGATGTACGTACTGCGGGAAAACCAGCTACAGTTCTATATAAAAGTCTCAGAGCATCCGTCGAATGAAAAGTTTTCGTATTTGGTAAATGAACAGAAGGTTGAGTGATTTATTTTAATAATTTAATTCCACATTAACAGCTGTTTTCCCTGTTTTCCCTCTTTTTTCGATCCTTCCTTTACTCTTTTCTACGATCCCATGTTTCATAATAGTTAGGTTTGGATTCGGTGTATCGAATTTATTCTTAATCGATTTTTCAATCAGTATTTCAACCAGTAAAAGAAATATCCAAATGATTTATTATGTGCATGAGTACGTACAAACGTTTCATATCAAACTTTTGCACGCTATTGTACATGATCATTACAGTGTCGATGTGTTACCACGGGTTAGATGGATTGTACTAATATAAATCAATAAATGCATCTCGTCATTGGAGAAGAAAAAATTTCTGGAAAAGAAAATGATACAATAAAATCACTGAAATGCAAAAACACTTGATATATGAGTTTAATTGGTGAATTAATTACAATTATTTCAAACCACAGATATTTCGATGATTCATTACTTCTCGTGACGGATAAGTGTCTGGTATTAGCCATAATTAATGTCGAGTAACTAATGGAATCAATATCGGGGGTCGTCGATTATGTATTATGAGAGTTATACATTTCTGAAATTTTACATAAACCTTGATATCACATGCACGATATATCACTGTTTACAATGTTCTTCTTGCATAAAGCGGAGTATATTTTAAACGATAAATATAAACATCCTAATTTCTATTTTTCATTTTATTCGTCATTTTAATACTGATCGTAATTTTCTTCACTTTTTATTTTAATATTTATTCCATTACTTTTCTCAAAATTGTTCAAAATCTTGCTTCGTTTTCTTAAGTTTCAGGGTCCATTTGGATTTTTCGTTTCGTTGCAAAATTACAAAATCTAGGTAAATTTTAATCAAATGATAAACTACGAGTCGGTATTTAGAGCATATTTAAAAGAATTTTCAATAAGGAAATTTTTAAACAGCTTTGAAGTTTTAAGTATGATAGATAAGATAGCGTTTGGAAAGTGGCACAGACAGCATCATGCTTCTCGAATTCATTCTCCAACTTTCGCCAATGTTTTAATAAAATGCGACGTTATTGTGGCGAGGCGAAATCTCATTTCTATTTTCTTAATAATTTTTAGCCTGCCCTTTTTAAAGAAGAACACCAGTTTTCCATCGTTAGAGTATAACTTTATTGCTAGCTATGTGTCACTGGCTATTTTATGCCGATTTTTTAACGATTTATCGGCCGACTATCATTACATGTTCTGTTTCCTCGTATTTGACGAAGAAGAAAAATGTATTCTGTCATTTACATCCATTTTTTATATGTCTATTACTGAGATATTAGTAATTAAAAAAGGGAGATATTAAAAATAATGCACATACTTATGTATGTATGTATATTTCTTCAGAATATTTTTTCTGGTTTGGTTAATCTTATTTATTCTGTGTAAAGGAGATAACACTTGTCGTTTCTTGACTGAGAAATAATTTAACGCTGCTACAATTAAATTTTTAATTTTTCTGAAACTGTAAATATGATCGTAAATGACTGCTTCAATAACACTCTTACACGAGACAGAGAATTTTTGAATGAAATAAAAAAAAATGGAGTCAAATGTATCTCAATTTCTTTAACATTATTTATACTTGCTCATTTTACGAGCTTATTTAAATATTTGTAAGATATTTATAATATCACGTAATTGCAAAATGAGATAATTGCAGTAGACAATTAGTTACCAAATAAATTACCATAGTAGTCAATAATGTTACCAAATAAAGTACTAACCAAAAATATGTGAGACCTACTAATTATTATTATTATTGTAATTAAATTCACTATTGTACGTATAACCAGAAAGCAACAAACTTTGAGGGATAGTAGCGAACGAAACAATAATGAACGGCAGACGAAACTTAAAAAATGGACAATAAGAAATTGAGAAAATCACTATCTCCTATTCATTAGGAATCAGCCTTAAAAGATCAGCTATCACGATGTTACTTTACGGACTATGTCTTTATAGCAATTAATAAAAATATCTTTCAAGCTACAATTCGACGTTACTTGATGTAAAGCAAGCTGGTGTTACATAGTTGCTTGATCACTCGTGTATTTTACATGTACTAGTTTTCTTTCGTTTTACGACATAAAGGAAGAGAATGCAACGAATGTTGCGCAGTGTACGGAAATTTAAACACGACCGTGTTTGATTATCGGACATTAATAAATGCAGTTGCACACCGCAACGAATTAAGATCGTTTATTGCAACACGAGTTAGGTATACAATAATTTAGCACCGCTATCGTGGTACCGATTAAATCTGAAGCTAATATTTTGCTCGAACTGTTACTTTCACGATTTGCAAACCGGCGAAAAAATGAACGTGTTATACAGTTTGGAATTATAATGACTTTACACGGATCACGACTCGTAATTATAATTGACGAACAAACGAAGTGAAAATTCGTATTCCTTCCAAGTTTTAGCATGATTTCGAGGATCGTGGTGAATTCTTGAACAAATTGGAGATTTTCTGTGGAGATGTCACAATTAGAAAAGTATCTCATATTTAAGATACGAAATAATATATTTCCTCTTACATATGTAGCGATCATCATTCTCACTCTCGTCACTAGATGGATTACTAGTTGAAGAAGGTTCGAGGACTTTCTCGCAAGTCCTCGGTGAATCCTCGACCCCCCTTAACTACCAACCTAGTCAAAATGACTGGTCCCAGAATTTTCCTTTTTGCAATCACCGAACACATACACCTGCTTTAAGAATAAAATTGGTATCAACTCATATTAAGAAAGAACTGTAATCAATATATTCACTTATATTCACCGTATCGCTGAAATTACTATAATCTGTGCACGTTATAGTTAGGTACCCATTAAAGATCGGTAGTTCTAGTGTTAAATAGAAGTACCTATGCCACCTAAGTATCCACGTCTAAGGCAGGGCCTGCTAGGGTAGCCTTACTGATGAGTCCACTAGCAGGTCCAGGACAAAACGCCGCACCCCTTCCTTTTCCTTACCTAACCTAACCAACCGCTATACGAGAATATCTGCAACCAGTTCGACTACAACCCCGTAAGGGGCCCCACACACATAGTTACGTCCTGACATGTCTTATAGCTGTTATTAGGAAGCTGTGATAGCTTCCTAATAACTAATAGATAGTTCAAGTAATAGCCAATAATCTATTAATTTATTCACTTTTATTATAAATTTACGTTGTAAGTGTTATTAACGATAAATATAGTAATTTGTGCTTTCATTTACAACGTTTATGTTTACAGAATGTAGTTTATTGGGAAAATGTTTAAAACCTTAAAACATCGAACATGGTATGAATTTGAAGACACATAGAAGCCCTAAATTTCGTCAACTTTGATCACCTGTATCTCAGTAACTGATTATTATATTTCGAAATGTCATGCGGCGATTGATGCATTGAAATTTATATAACAAGTATCATCCACCGTAGTAGTCAGTCTTTTCTTAGTTTCGACAATAATCCTATTTGCTTTTCGTAATAGTTCGTTGGTA